TATATATATATATATATATATATATTTTAGTACATGTTATTTTAACTACACAAATATATGTATACTTTTGTAAATAATTACCTTTTATTTTGATACTTTTTTCAAAATCACTCATCTGATTTAAAATTTATTTATAAATATTACAATTGTAACATTGAACGATTATATATTCAAAAAATTTATATGTGTATATATATATATTTTATTTTTTGATATGTAAAATTTATTTAATTACAATATCAAATCCAACAAATATAAATCTATAATCTTTGTTGCACACGATTTATTTCAATCATTTTAACATTGTGAAGTCTATTATTAACATTTTTTTTTTGTCATTTTCTTCAACAACTAATGCAATTAACAAATGGATTTGCCTGATTAATAATTTCATAATCTAACCGACTATATAGTCACGTTTCTCCAGCTCGTAACATATGTTATGTTAACCATTTTATTTTTAAAATATTTTATTATTATATTAATTATTATATAATAAAATTGTTAAAATAAATAATTAAAGATTTTTAAATGGCTTTATGTAGAAATAGAATTATTTATAAAATATTTTGCAAAACATTTTTTATTGCCATCCTTCTTCAGATGATGGTGGTGGTGGTGGTCTGAAAATAAAATGTTTTGTTATTGTAATGAGAATAAATTATTTTGAATATTTTTTATATTATAGAAAATATTATAGAAAAATGATTCTAGAAATTCAAATAAATATAAATATTATATGAAACTTATTTATTAAGATACAAACTTAATATTAAGACAAAAAAAGAATTTATTTTGTCTCGTTTCATCTAACGTAAAATTCACTTGGGCATAATTTAATAAATATCCTAATTGATATAAATTTTTATGTTTGTTATGAGTTTTATAATAAATCCAAAGATATACTATAAATATTTTTTTATATATTCTATATAATGGATATTTATTTACTTCTAATTTATTTATTTGTATTAGTTCATTTGTAATTGTTTTCTATTATTATAATTATTGTAATAAATTATATTATTTTATTTAAACAATTTAATTGATCATGGTAATTAAGAAAAATAATTTAATATTTTCTAAAAAAAAATTCTTAAATTATGAATATTATACATACGAATTTGAAAGAATTTTTTTAAAGAAAGATCAATATATATTATATTTATATATATTATATTGTTATATATATTTTTAAGATTTTTTAAAAATCTTTAATTATTTTTTTAATAAATGATTAAGTAAAGTAAATCTCTTATTTATTACAATTATTTATTACGTTTATATCTTTCTTAAATAATTAAATTTAAAAATAATATTTATATTAAAATAATTAGAAGATTTAAATATTTATTTTTATTTTATTTATAAACAATATTTTATTTATAAACAATTATTTTGGAATAAAATGTATGCTTACTCGGGTGTATTCCAATTTTCTTGTTGGTCAGGTTCAATTGGCGGATCCTCTCTGAAAAAATACATAATAATTAATAATTATGTAAAATTATAGTTTTATTCATTTATTTAAAAATAAAAAATTTCTAGAAAATTATACGTATTCATATTATAATATATTCGTATCAATGATTGTATCTTATTTAAATATATTTTTGTAAAATTGTTGCAATATTATTACATCAAAAACAATTCATTT